TTTGTATAATCTTTTACAAAAGGCCTATAAAAAAGGCGATGTGTATATAAGCAACATATGTTTACCAATGAGCTCTCCAGGAAAATGCTGAATGCAGAGATGTGTGTGTGTGCGTGTGTGTATTTACATAATGTTATAAATTTTACTGACATAAAGTATGTGTAGCTGAGCACACAAGTTCTAGATAATAAAAGTGTATTTCCATAGGGCCAACTGATTCCCACAGAATGTCTTAAGTGCAGACAACAACAAAACAAGCCCTGATTTGCATTATTTCCCACTTTCCATGGTGTAAATATTCCCACTACGGCCAACTTCAACCTATCAATGTGATGTCCCTGAACAGGGATGGAAAAGATGAGCAGCAGCATGTGACACATAAAACTGTCAGCTCGCCGATTAAAAAGATAGAGCACAGGTGACAGTAAAGAGTATAGATAACAGTAAAATGCAGTAAAATCACTAAGAAGTGGTAACTTTTGAGAGTGTCTTAACTTTGTTTTAAAATATAATGTATTTAATTTTAGGTTTATATGATTTAATGTTTAATAATTGCTTTATTTAACAACTGGTGCACAGATTCCTGTCTCAGTCCCATTCGGGTCAGATCCAGCACACATCCCTGGAAAGTATCTTCCAGTATCTGAGAAGGATAGGTATTGCTAATCCAGATCGAGTGACTACAGCCAGTCCTTTCCTCATCAAACAGGTAAACATTTTAATGTGTATTATCAGCACATGATAAACCTGTGAAAAGTCCAGATTCCTGGGCCCCAGTCCCAGAGATTTTGAGAGCAGATCTGGCATGGGGACCCAGAAGTCTGTATTTTAATAGGCAAGCAACCCTCTCTGTGCCAGACGATTTATTCAGAGGATGTCAGCATCCAACATTTGTTGACTACATATTCTATGCCAGGCTCAGAAACCATGGGCATGAAAGGAACAAAACTTGTCTTCAAGGTGAATACAGAAACCAAGAGTTATAATGGAACTCTAATACTGGTACCTACCACTTTGGGAGAGGAATCCTGAGAGAAATGGTGTTTGACCTGAGTCTTGAAGAAGGAGCACCAGCTAATCAAAACAACAAGGGGATAGGGAGGAAGGGGTGTCCAGAGCAGAGAGACGGGCAGGTGCATAGCCACACAGGCAAAGAGGACTCAGTCCACTAGGATACCAGCACATGCTTTGGGGACAGTACCACTGATAAGTTCTGCAGCCACATTTATCTCTCATCAGCTTTAGCACAGAGTAAGCACATATTAGTTAGACTATGTTCAGTCACGTGTTCATGTGAGGAGTGGTGGTAGATTAGGCAGAAGAGTCATGCCCAGGTCGGGTGGGACTTTACAGAACGCCTAGCACAAAGTAGGTGCTCCCATTTTGTATTCTTCCTTCAATGTGTTTAAAATTGGTCTCATCGCCATTATAAGATTACTGCTGCGAAAGAAGTTACCTGTGGTGGCTAACTTACAAAGTCTAGAAACACAGAAGGCTCTCACGGCTTTTTTAATGGATAAGCTACCTTCTCAGTTGGAGAAAATGACCGAGACTGTGGGTTAGAAATAGTTCACCAAACCAAAGTTCCAAGGAAATGGGTGATTACTACGTATTATTTTTCCCATTGGTTTTACCTTGTTCTAATTCATCCGTTTTCAGAATCCAATGGGAATGCCATAAATGTTATTTTATGTTTCTAAGGTTGTATCATTTCAGCTTTTGGCATTTTAATTAGGTAACCCAATTAACTTTAAAAATCTATGAAGTAACATAACGAAGAAAAATGAATGCCAGAGCTACACAATGGGTTAAAGGGAAGTCGAAGAGTAGGAGCTTCTCTACCTAAACAACTAGAAGAGTGGACTTGTCACCCTAACACACCAAGTCTGTGGCCACCTCCATGTCATACTGTCCCTTCTCTAATGCAAACCATGCCCATCCATCTCACCTCCCCTCAAGCCCCATCTCCTCCTTGTAGAATATTCCAAGCAATCCACTGCACAGTGATCTCGTCCCTCTCCGTGCATGATCCTCATCTTCGGATGTAGTCCTACGTGATTATGTATTATGGAATACCCATCTCCCAACCAGACTTTACATTTTCAGAGAACTTCTCTTGCATGTGTCATGGAGCAGGGCATAATGCTAAACATATAAAAGACACTAAACACTTGGTGAGTGAATAGACTAAATGATCTCCATGAATTATAATATTGAAGCTTCAAGCTTCAATTGTTGATTTTCTCACCTCCCCCAAAATGAAGATAAAAACATCATAAAGATTTTTAAAGGTCTCAGACTGGGGACAAAGAAAGGAGGTTATCAAAAGGGATTCCATTCCTGAGTTGTTTTTTAAGTGTCACCAAAGCTGCAGAAGCATCTATTGTCTCTAACATAGAAAGGCAAAGGAAATTCCTTGCTCTGCTTGCCCATAGTTAAGACTGAGGGGCCTACAATTGAGCCTTGTTGCTAAGTGAAATGCCCCCAAAACATCCTAGAATATAAGCTCTTTATACTCATCAAAGAAGAAAGAGAACAGGTATCCCCAAGCTGCCTCTATCCCTGTCTTCTTTAACAATTTACTGAAGTACAAAAGGGAAGGACTATTTACAGAATTCCAAACTGAAGCATATATAATACATTTATTCAGTAAATACTATTTCCAATATCATAATAGCTAACATATTTTAACACTTTCTTTTGTGTCCTACAGTGTGTAGGCATTTTTCTGACATCATCTTATCAAACTCTGATACCATTCTATATGAGATAAATACCGTAATTTTCCTCATTTTAGAGATGAGGAAGCTCAGCTTAAGTAACAACTCCAAGGTAACAACGTAAGTCACAGAGCCAGAATCTGTAACCGGGTCTCTTATGCCAAAGCCCAAAGGACACCATCTATGTTTACAAGATTCAATTCCCAACAATGTAAGTACTCTAAATACTTGGGTTCTATTTCAGGATTGTTTTTTCATTTGAAAACTTAAAAATTATTATTATTTTTTTAAAGATTTTATTTATTTGACAGAGAGAGAGAGAGCACAAGTACGCAGAGTGGCAGGCAGAAGGAGCGGGAGAAGCAGGCTCTCCACTAAGCAAGGAGCCAGACGTGAGGCTCGATCCCAGGACCCCAGGATCATGACCTGAGCCGAAGGCAGCCGCTTAACCGACTGAGCCACCCAGGCACCCCTGAAAACTTAAAAATTAAAAAAACAAGACACCAAATCAATGATATGAAGAAAAGGCTAGAACAAGGGGATGTCCAGGGCCTGCGGTACCAAGTTTAAACAAACTGGCTTAAAGCCAATTAACTAGAAGATTCCCTACGCGCGTGCGTGCGCGCGCACACACACACACACACACACACACGAGTGGTTAACTGTGGATCCCATGGGCAGACAGACCCGTGAAGGTATCATTTCCCTATCAGTCCTAAAGAGTTTTGGGAAATTTGGATTTAATTTATAACATTTTAATATTCATTCCAGGCACAGGCCACATGCCATGCAGGCTTTGTAGGATGTTCAGCAGAGGAGAAGAACTCTAGAAAATGCTTTTATTGAAGGACTTTTGGCCTTGCATTATGTGTGTATACTAATAACCTCCCTTGAGCAAAGGCAGCTTCAGAGAAAAGAAAAGGGCCTAGAAATTAATGTCTGAAAAGAGTTTTCCATATAGCTTCACCTGTTCCCTTAAAGCAAAGAACACAATAAGGCAAAAGCCAAGCTTAGCTCTCATTAACAGCATTGTTTCCACAGTCTGAGGTCAGCCTTAAGAGGAAGCTAGCAATCACGGGGTATAGTTTCAGGGATAGCTGAAAGCTATTCCCTATCCCCTAATTAACACTTCTACTGGTTGTTGGTGCTTGAATTTCCACAAAAAAAGAAAATCCATTTCTTTGGCTTTAGACCCAGTCTTGTGAAAATGCAAAACCGAATACTCCTGGGGTGACAGAATTGTAAGTTTCAGGGTTTATTTACATCCAAGATTCTCCAGGTTTGTTAGATTCCTTCAAGGCAAATTTTGCTAAGGAAAGGAATGCGAGGGGGTGGCAATTTAGGGCATTGAAAACAACCTTGGGGCCAAAGTGGTCAGGAGAGAAGAGAGTTTTCCACTGAGAGATCCTAGTATGCAAACAAGGGAGTGGGCTCCAGAGTCGATACGATGCAAATTCTCCCTCTCCTGTTGCCATTATCAATTTAGTATAGTCCGCCCCATCTCCTTCTCAAAATCTTATGCGATACAGCAATTATGCGGCTTTATTTACAGGAAAACTGACCCAAACAACGTCAGGCAAAGGATTTGAAATTTACAGTCCTTGGGCAGCTGTTACAAGCACTCAAACTGCGTCTATTTGCAGGCAGAAAGTCGTGACTTCCCAGATTTTAGGTAAGGCACACATTTGTCTGCAAAGAGAGCTGGAGCCGAAATCTCTACCTATCAGGCATAAGGCAAGAAGCCCGGGGAGGGGTGGGGGGAAGCAAGCTGGATGGCTCCAGGAAGTGGGTGGGGAGGAAGCTGCGAGGTTTGGAGCCAACTGTAGCAATAGCAGGTTTGCACACGCCTAGCGAAGGGAGTCCCGGGCCACTGCGTGCATTGGTCACAAGCGCTTTTGGCAATGCTGTCCCCTTTGATTCCCGTCATCACCCAACTACACAGCTCGGGTTTGGGGCGTAAAAAGGGCTTGCAAAGTGGGCGGCGGCCGGGGTTCCCGCCGCTGAGTCACAGCCCAGCCAACTTTTACTGCATTTCCCAGAAAGAAAATTAAAAGTCTCAAGTTCCGTAGCCCACCACTCGCTTCCAGTTCGCGCTCTCCGCTCTGTGTCACTGGAGCTGGGGGGGGGGGGGGTGACTCAGACCCACAACTGGGGTGTTTCCCACTCGTCTCGCAACTTCTCACCCCAGCAAAGCCTCGGGGTACCCCGAGCGCTTGGCAAGCGCTACCCACCAGGCAGATGGGAGAGCAGGAGGAGGGAGGGGAAGGGCTGCGTCCTCACCTGCAGGACACGGACACCTCCACCCGCGTGGCCGGGATGGCCGCGCTCAGCTGGTTCAAGTCCCCGATGCCCGCAGTGCTGGTGTAGCGGCTGTCCATCTTGGGTGGAGGCGCCGCGGACTTGTCCGGCGCCCACATCCAGAGCTCGGGCAGACTAAGGTCTCAGAGCCCAGCTCTCGACAGCCGGGGATGGGGGTTGAGGGTGGAGGCAGAGGAAGGAGGGCGGAGGCAGCTCGCGGGAAGGGTGGGGGAGAGAGAGGGGGAGGCGGACCCGAGCAAAGCCGCGAGGGAACCGCGAGCCAGTCCTGGCCCAGGCCGAGGCCGCCGGGGAAGTGGCGCACGGGGCTCCCGGCTTCCCTGCCCCCTCCTTGCAGGCAGCAGCCCCAGCAGGGGATAACTTCGTGATCCTTGCCAGGTTCTGGGTGCCAGGCTCTGAGGAGGTAGGGGGCACGAGACCCAGACCCCAACCGTCTAGGAGAGCAAGCCCTGGCCGGCTGGGCGCGCGGCTGGGGTTTTGTCTCCGCCTCTACACACCCACTCCCGCCTCCTGGGCCGCGACTCCCTCCTCCTGTCAATCAGGTGTGGACGGGAATGTCACGCAGTTCGCTTGCCTGGGCTGGAAGCTGGAGGTGTGGGCGCCTGGAGGTGTGGGCGCCTTTGCCTGTTCCTGACTCCCCGCCATCGTAGGTCCGTCCCTCCTCACCCCGCGCCGGTCCTCACCGAAGCCCATGGAGGTCCCTCCCACCTTGCCTTCGGGCAGGTGAGCCGGGTCCCCGTTTCTGGACTGCCCACTCTCGGCCATCTGAAGGTTGGGGACAATGGGACATGAGGACAGTGTTCCGTATGCGGTGGTAAAGTGACGGATCAAGATCTGGGACAAGGCGGGAACAGGAGGGACTCTAATGTGGAGGGAGGGGGACTATTTGAAAAGAGTTTTCCATATAGCTTCACCTGTTCCCTTAAAGCAAAGAACACAGTAAGACAAGAGCCAAGCTTAGCTCTCATTAACAGCATTGTTTCCAGTCTGAGGTCAGCCTTAAGAGGAAGCTAGCAATCTTAAGGGGCTTAAGGGGACCATTTGGTTTCCCTCTTCCCTCAGTTCCTCGAAATATGGGGGTCTAATTGTGACAGCCCTCCTATAGTCAGGACTCTTCTGCGGCCCCTCGCTTCCAAATGCTTGGAAGTTCTGCCCTGAAACCTGGAGGTCACAACCATTTAACGCAGCTCCCTTACGCCGACTCCCACCGCTAAGACCCGAATGAAACTGGACGGACGGAAGCAGAGAGGAGCCGGAGTGAGCTCCGCATTTGGGAAACTGGATTCTGGGGCAGTCAGACTGGTGTCAGGATGCCGAGGCGGCCAACGTCTGGGGAGGTCCCCGCGACTCCCCTCCATTGCAGCGACCTTATTGGCGGCACCTTGCCTCCGGCCTCACCCGTGCGCCTGCGGGTCCCCAGGCGCTAGCCAGCAGGGGGCGACCGAGACCCGGACGCGGAGCTCCGCCTAGAAGCGTGGCGCTCCGACCGGTGTCCGTCCGCCTTCTCTTAACGCGCCAACCACGGAGTTTCCAGCCGGCAGGACTAACTCAGAGAGGTTTTCGTGGTTGAGAACCTGTCGTACGTTCTAACATTTTAATCCACTTGGAGCCACCTGCCTGGAGAATCTGTAGAGTTGCCGGTGAGGACGTGTAGGCACCGTCGTGCCTCTTCCCCTGCCGAGATCCTCCCCGTATTTCATCCTTGGTTTCCTTTCCTGATCTCCTCGCCCACCTCTTGTCATCCCTTAAATCCAGAGGTTCTCTGTTTCTTTTTTTTCCGTCGCTGATTAACCTGTAGTTTATTACTCTTTGGAAATGTCCTAAAACTCCAGACATTACTCTTATGCTGCCCAAAATTAATTTGGGGGACTAGACCTACGTGTATTTTTCTAAGGTTATTTCATAGAAGCCTATGAAGAAATAAAAGTTGAGAACTTTAAAATAGTACCCAGCTAATAAATCCTTTACTTCTTAATTTTTCCAGTTTATTGAGCTACAACTGATATGTAATAAACTGCACATATTTAAAGTGTGCCATTTAATAAATTTTGATACATATATACTCCTATGAAGCCATCACCCTAATCAAAATAATCAGCCATTCCATCACCCCACAAGTTTTCTCAGTCCCTCCTTTCGCCACTAAAAACAACCCTCCAGACAACCCCTGGTCTTCTTTATATCACTGTAGAGAAGTTTGCATTTTCTGTAATTACGTATGTATGGAATCATATAACATGTACTCTTTTTTGTGTGGCTTCTTCCACTAAGCAAAATTCTTTTGAGATTTATCCCCACATTGTTGAGCACATCAATAGTGCATTTCTTTTTTGTTGTTGACTAGTATTCCATTGTATAGATATGCCACAAATTGTTTATCCATTCACGTCAGTGGACATTTAATTTCTTCCAGGTTTGAGCTATTACAAATAAAACTGCTATGAACATTTATGCATCTTTATGTGGACATATGCTTTCATTACTTTTGGGTAAATACTAGAAGTGGAATAGCTGGGCCATAAGGAATGTGAATGTTTAGCTTTTTAAGAAACTATTAAAATATTTTCCAAAATAGTTTTACTATTTTCCATTCCCACAGCATTATATGAGTTTCAGTTGCTTCATATCCTCATCAGCACTTATTTTGTTACTCTTTTAAACTTTAGCCAATCCAACAGGTATGTTGAGAGTAGGTTAATGACTAATAATGTTGTCATTACGGGTCTCAGTGTGGATTAATGACATTTTTATGTGCTCATTTGCTATCTGTGTATCTTCTTTGGTAAAGTGTCTATTCAAATCTTTTGCCCATTTTTATTGGGTTATTAGTTTTATTATTCCTTAGTTTTTAGAGTTCTTTATATATTCTGTATACGAGTCCTTTATCACATACAGTTTATAAAATAAGTTCTGCCAGCCTGTGCCTTGTATTTTCATTTTCTTAATAGTCTACCAAAGAGTTAAAGTTCCTAATTTTGATGAATCCAGTTATTCAACTTTACCTATTATTGATTATAAGTTGGTGTTGAATCAAAGAAATCTTTGCCTAATCTGAGGCCATAAAAATGATCTTATATGTTTTCTTCTAGAAGTTTTATACTTTCAGGTTTTGCATTTAAGCCTATGATTAATTTGTTTTTTATCAAAGTTCTCTTCTCTGCACATCAAGATCAAATTTTTCTAGCACCTTTGTTAAAAAGACCAACCTTTCTCCGTGACTCGTCTTTGTCCTTTTGTCAAAAATCAATTCATCATAAATGAGTCCGTTTTTTTCACTCTATCCTATTTCATTGATCTGTGTTTCTTTAAACCAATACCACAGTCTCAATTACTACAGCTTTTAAAATAACTTGAAATCAGGTAATATAACTTCTCCAACTTTGATCTTTTTAAAAATTCTTTTGTCATTTTTGATTCTGGTCATTTTTGATTCTTTGCATTTCTGTGTAAATTTTAGAATCAGCTGGGCAATGTCTACCAAAAAAAATCTTATCAAGATTTTGATTGGGATTCCATTGATTCAATAGACCACTTAAAGAAGAGTAGATAAGATTAGTCTTCTGATCCATGAACATTATATGTCTTTCCATTTATTTAGGCCTTCTTTAATGTCTATCAGTAATGGACTGGTGTCCTTAAAAGAGAAAGATTTGGAGACACACAGCCACACAGGGAAGAAAGCCATGTAAAGACAGAGACAGAGATTGGAATTACGCTGCCACAAACCAAGGGATGTCAAGGATTGTTGGTAACCACCAGAAGCTAGAAGAGTTAGGGAAGGAATCTTCCCTAGAGCCTTTGGGAAGAGCATGGTCCTGCCAACACTTTGATCCCAAAACCGTGAGAGAATAAATTTCTATTGTTTTAAGTCAACTGGTTTGTGGTAATTTGTTACAGCAGCCCTAAGAAAACTAATGCATGATGATAACACTAATTATTTCAATTTTGCTAATTTTTTTCAAGTTCAGTACTTGTAAATTCATCATACTGAAGTAAGCTTTAAATGACAAAACTTTTAAAGTATATTCAAACTCTATTAATATAGTCAGCACAGTACATAAAGAACTACAATTTTTAAAAATGATTTTAATAACCTAATATGAATTATGGCATGTCTATTTCCTTCAACTTTTTATTGTGGAGAATTTTTAATAAAAAGCTTATATTTACTGAAATGCATTTAAATAATATGAATGACTTTAGAATTGCTAAAAGCCAAAGGTAAATTTCATTTACTAAAATTTGTAAGCAGCCATTATTCACCACGTCAGTGATTCAGTAAACATTAGTTGAATGTTTACTATGTGCTAGGCACTGGGCTAGATCTAGGAGGTAAAGCTCATTCTGGCAACGAGATGCATGACTGCATAGAGATATTACTGAATGAATCATTAAGTTCTTTTCATTTCTGGGATTTCATTATTCTACAAAATTAGGGAAGACCTCATTTTGTAAATTAAATTGTCATTGTACCTTATTTTTTTTTTTAAGATTTTATTTATTTATTTGAGACAGAGAGAATGAGAGAGACAGAGAGCACATGAGAGGGGGGAGGGTCAGAGGGAGAAGCAGGCTCCCTGCCAAGCAGGGAGCCCGATGCGGGACTCGATCCTGGGACTCCAAGATCATGACCTGAGCCGAAGGCAGTCGCTTAACCAACTGAGCCACCCAGGTGCCCTGTACCTTATTTTTAAGAAGCATTTATTTAGGGGTGCCTGGGTGGCTCAGATGGTTAAGCATCTGCCTTCGGCTCAGGTCATGATCCCAGGGTCCTGGGATCGAGTCCCACATCAGGCTCCCTGCTCCTTGGGAGCCTGCTTCTCCCTCTGCCTCTCTCTCTCTCTCTCTCTCTGTTTCTCATGAATAAATAAATAAAAATCTTAAAAAAAAAGAAGCATTTATTTATAAAATAGCATAAAAAGAATCAGCTAGCCTGAAAGAGCATATTTTCATAATAATAAGACAAAGTTCATTTACCTCATCCAGCAAGTGGTGTACCATCTCTCATAGAAGTACTGGACGGAGCAGTTCTTGACCCAGTAGCTAAGTGGAAAATTTGCTCCATCAGACTCAACAAACTATTCCACCCAGGGTAAGTCAGAAATACCAGCATTAATGGGGCGCTTGGGTGGCTCAGTCAGTTAACCATCCAGTTCTTGATTTTGGCTCAGGTCATGAGCTCAGGGTCAGGCTCTGAGCTCAGCGCGGAGTCTGCTTGTCCCTCTCCCTCTACTCCTCCCCCAGTTAATGCTCTCTCTCTCTCTCAAATAAATAAATTAAATCTTAAAAAAAAAATACAAGCATTACTACATGCTCACCTTCAAAATGTCC